GTCCATTAAGGACGTACAGTCCCTAACCCAACAGGTGGATAGCTATGGATGGGGAAAGGAGAGAGGGAAATAAGAGGGGATAGAGGAAGAGAAGGAGAGAGAGAGAGGGAGGGAGAGGAAAAAAGAAGGGAGAGAGAGGGGGAAGGAAAAGAAAAAAGAGAAAAGGAGGGAGAAAGGGAAAGAAGAGGGGAGAGAGGAAGAGGAGAGAGAGAGAGAGAGAGAGAGAGAGAGAGAGAGAGAGACAGAGACAGAGACAGAGACAGAGACAGAGAGAGACAGAGAGAGACAGAGACAGAGAGAGAGAGACAGAGAGAGAGAGACACAGAGAGAGAGAGACAGAGAGAGAGAGAGAGAGATAGGAATGAGAGAGGGAGAGAAAGAGAGAGAGAAGGCGGGATCTTTGTACATGCATGCCGCAGCCAAGATGACCTTCATGGCCAAAGAGGCCCTCATCATGATTTACCAGTGGCCCATGTTCCCACCCTGCTGATGTTGCCATGCAGAATTCTCCATGGAGTGAGTGACCTCCAGCTCTCTGGAATCTCCAGCCATGGCTGACCCTCATCTGGCAACGTGATTCACTTTGATGAATGTGCTAAGACCTTTCATGTCATAGCTCTCCCCAAAGTCCAAAGCAGTGTGGTCCAGTGGGAAGACTGCTGAACTTGGAGCCAGAGGGCCTGTGTTCATTTCCAGTTCTGATACATAAGGGATTATGCCACCATGCAAGTAAAGCTACCTCTCCTAGTCTCAGTTGCCCTATCTGTTAAATGGGGATAAGGACACTTGCACTGCCCACCTGACCTGGCTGTTGTGATAAACGCACTTTTAAACCAGAAAGCACCAGAGAAATGTCAGTACTTCTACTTGGGAGTGCTGAGTACATCCTAGGCATATTGAAAATAGGGATGTGGGGATAAAACAGGTGTTGACCTGGGGAATACCGTAGATTTAGAGCTGCAAGTGTCCTCAGAGGTCATCTAATCCAACACCCTCATTTTACAGCCAAGGAAACTGAGACCCAAGAGATTAAATACCTTGCCCAAGATCACACAGGTGTCAAGGGTCAGATTTGAACTTAGGTCTCTTGACTCCAGAGTCAGTGCTCCAACTACAAACCAAATGTTGTCTGTGGCCTCACTTCGGGACCATTTCCCAAAGCCAGATACTCTTGGCTCCCTGAATAATTTCCTTTTTTTTTTAAGCAATTGGGGTTAAGTGACTTGCCCAGGGTCACACAGCTATTAAGTGTCAAGTGTTTGGTCTGAGGCTGGATTTGAACTTAGATCCTTCTGACTTCAGGGCCAGTGCTCTATCCACTGTGCCACCTAGCTGCCGCCTCCCTGAATAATTTCTGTCTAGAATGAGTCTAGGAGAGTGTAAAGAGGTTGGGCAAGGAAGGGGAGCAGGTAGCAGAGAGAACACCGTTAGGGGAGGAAGCCACAGAGAGTCTTAGATAAGTTGTCGTAGCCAAGGTGGAAACTCACCCGAGAGAATAAACACGGTCAGAAGGCAAAAAGGCACCGCACATCCCAAAGAGGGAGAAAGGCTTAGTCCTGAGGTCTGGCAAAGAGAGGGGCTATCCAGGAATGCAGATCCTTTTTGAGTAAATGGCCAGAAAAGAGGGGAGAGGAGAGGCAAGAGGCAATCGTCTGTAAAGGAGAAGGAAAGAAAGTAGGGGAAGAGGGAGGAAAGAGCCTTCCTAGTGTTCCATAGCCCCGAGGCTGAAAGAACGCTGAGAATCCATACACTACCATTCCTTATATACCTGGTCATTCACTGCACAGTTTTATTGAACTTTGCAGTTTGTCTGTGATTACTTACAGGGTTTCTCCATGTTCACTCTGAATATCCAAAACTCCACGTTATATGGGAATTCCTTTGTGAACTGCACATCAACAGTTGGTGTCAGTAATTCACAAACTCTCCTCCATAGCTTAGACATGGTGATTCACAGAGCAACCCATAGCACTTTGCAGTTTGTTCGGGATTACCCACAAGGCTCCCCAGAATGGGCTGTGCCCTAGACTTTTCCTATGACATCTGCTTTCCCAGTACAGGACATCCAAAATTCAGAACACTATTTAACCTAAGGGTTTTGTTTGCCATCAGCAAACCTATGCAGATGGACCCTAGCAAAATCATGTTCCAAAAACAAGTAGTTTCTTCACCACTACCATCCCACCTCTGCCCTGCTCAGCTCCAGAGAACCACAGGCTACCAAGGTTTGCAGCCTGCCTGTCCCCAGCAATTGACATAAATACAGCTAGCTTGGTACTGACAGCCTGGGACAGCATTTCCTTCTATTCCCTCAGCATAACCCGATTGAATTAACCTTGGGCTAGAGGTCAAACCTGGGTTCTAGCCCTGGCTCTGCCACTAATGTGCTGTGTGACACTATTCCTCTCTGGGCCTCAATGTCATCATCTGTAAAATGGTGATAACAATACTAACGCTTCCAAAACAACTACAGGGTTGTGAGGAAATCACTTTTTAAAGCTTAAGGTACTCTTGGAACATCCGTTGCTACCGCCATCATTATTCTCATCATTATCAACTTTATTATTATCCCTTATTTAGGCAAGACACTTAATTCTCTGTAAGCCCCAGTCTCCTCATCTGTTAAATGGGGAAAAGGAAACTAGATGACCTTTATGGTCTCTTACAGCTCCAAATCTATATTCTGGGTTCTCCTTCCTGATGCTCCATCAGAGATCAAAGGAGGTAACGGGTGGGAAAAGTGTCATAAACCTCAAGATGTCATACAGATGAGCAGGTACATCATATAAGATGGAGACCCAGAGGCCAGCCCTGGCTGCGGGGCAATGATGGATTTCCATAGACAAGGGATGGAGGAGGCGGAGGGGAAGGAGGCAATTTCCTCTGATAGCTCCTGAGCCTGAAACTGTGATGTTCTCCTTAACCCAGTCCCTTCCTCGCTGGCCCCAAACACAGACAAAAGAACTAGCTGCCCCTTCAGTGAGGATCCCTGCCTACCCTTTGTCTCCTCTCCCTTAAGCCCCAGACCTGCCCAAGGGGATTTGAAGTTCTGCTACCAGAGCCTCCCACCAATGATCTCATGGTTAGGAAGGTTTTTTCTCGTCTCAAGCTGAAATTTGCCTAGCAGCAACTTCCAACTCACTGATCACAGTTTGACTCATGGGATCAAGTAGGGTAAGCTCACTTCTCCTTCCACATGACAGTCCTGCAAATTTCTGAAGGCAAGGCAGAGGTAGTGGACTTCCTCCCGACCCCCCAGCCTTCCCTTCTCCAGGCCAAGCGTCCTCACATTCCTGCTACCTCGGGTCTTTCTCCTCTGGACACATACCAGCTTGTCGGGGAGTTCTTCCTAAAGCGAGATGCCCACAGTTGAACACAAGACTCCAGGTATGGTCAGACTAAGGCAGAGGAGAGCAGGACCATCACATCCTTCAGGCTGGACACTATACTTTCCTTAGTGAAGCCTAAGATCATGTCACCTTTTTTTCCAATACTGTGTCACATGGCTCATCCCTATTGATCTTAAAGTCCACTGAAAGAACTAGGTCTTTTTCATGGGAACTCTTATCTCCCACCTTCTGCAAAAAGCTTTTGCTGTTTCCCCTTAATGTACTAACCTTCCCTCTGCTAAGCTTCGTATGCATAGATACATAGAGATATATACACACACATGCACACATATATATGTATGTATGAGTATATGTATATATCTATGTGTGTTATATGTATGTATATACATATACTTATTTATATGTTATATACATGTATACATACATACCTATAAATATAAATATGCATCTTATTTGTACATAGTTGTTTGCACATTGTCTCCTTGAGAAGCGATTGTCTTTTACTTTTCTTTGTATCTCCAGTGCTTAGCACAGTGCTAGGTGCCCAATAAATGTTTATTATTATTGTTGACCCTTTTTCCATCCTGAACTTGTGCAGTTGACATCTTAAACCCAAGTATAGGACATTACATTTGCCTCCTGTCAAATTTCATTTCATGAGATTTGGCCCATCATTCTAATTCCCAATTCTGTCATCCAATACATTCCTGCTTTATGGTAATTGGGTAACTGGTGGAGTTCAGCACAGTCATCAGAAAACCAATTGGGGAGCTGAGCCCCAAGAGATAGGGCACAGGATGGGCAAATCCAAATGGAAGAATGGACCTGAGAGCATGGGTCTCTGTCCTTACCAGGGCAAAACTTTGTAGCAGTCTGGGGAGAGTATGAAGGCCATGGGCACTGCGTGGTAGGAGGGTAGAGGAAGAGAACCTGCAGAAATAAGGTAACACTGAAGGATGTAGGGGAATCTACTCAGTTATACTGCTGGGGACCATGAGGACTAGACCTGATAGGCAGTCAAGAATAAGCAGATAGATAGATAGATAGATAGATAGATAGATAGATAGATAGATAGATAGATGGATGGATGGATGGATAGATAGACAGTAGATAGAGATAGACAGACAGACAGAGATAGATAGACAGATATAGACAGATGGATAGATAGACAGAAGACAGTAGATAAATAGAGATAGGTAGACAGACAAACAGTAGATAAGTAGAGATAGACAGATAGATAGATGGATAGATAGATAGATGATAGATAGATGATAGATAGATAGATAGATAGATAGATAGATAGATAGATAGATAGATAATAGATATAATCTCCCAACTAGACTTTAAACCTCTTGAAAGGACTATGCTTTCTTACTCTTTGGATATGCCTCTTTTCCCATCCTAGAGAATGACCCAATGTTTCTAGTGTCATAAACTCTTAATATGCTCGCTGTACATTGTTGCTGAATTGATAAGATCACCAGGTAATCACCAGAGTTATGGGACAGGATATGGAGCTCAAGCTCCAGCCCCTAACCATACTCAGGAAGGCCTTCTTGACCCATCATGATTATTGCCAGCTTCTTCTCCCACTTCTTCAATAACCAAGGAGACTCCCTCTGCGTCCCTTCTCTCTGTAGACATGCTCACCTGGTCTCGGGTGTAGGGTGTGTCCACTCTCTGCTTATCAGCACAGGCTTCTAGGAGTATGCGCATGGCATTCAGCTGCAGAAGCATCTCACAGGCCATAGTGTCAAAGAAAGTGATGTTGGCAAGGGCTGCAGAAGCCAATAGGAAGACTTCACCAGACGAGGCCTCTTGGCACAATTCTGGGGGGAGGGATAGAGCCTGGATTAGAGAGGGAGACATCACCCCCTCCAGGCTGATTCCAAAGAAGTCCCTCTAGTGTTGTGGGAGGAAGTACTTACAGGAGCCTACAACTCAAACAGAACCAGCACACAGCCAGAAAGTCTCATGTCTGGGACTTGAAGGACCCTATCTGCCATTCTCCATGGTATACCTCCCTCCATCTAGACACAAATCACCTGCAGTCACCTGCAGGCACTGGGTGGCCAGATTGGCTCGTGCCACAGCATATATGAGGTTTCCTGGCTCAGGCAGGAGTGACCTTTCTTTCCAGGTCTCCTTGTTGCTAGTATCTCATATCTGCTATTCTGTTTGCCATATATTCGACCCTCTGCCTTGCATCCATCTCCAAGGTCTATGTATCCTCTGCTTCCAGATCGCCTTTTGACTATTGGCTTCTGACATGGCTCCAACTTAACCACAGCATTTCTAAGGACTCCTTGGATTTAGCTCACCTGGAATAGTATATACCAATGGGGTCACAAGAGTAATAAGTGAACATGTTAAAATAGAAGCAACTGAACAGGGAAGAAACTACCACCATCTGTGCCTCGATGTCCCTAAATTCCCCAACATGGTTAGAGCCTTGGGGCCTCTTCTCCTCCATGGTTCTTAACTTTTGTTCTAAGGGTTAGTCCTCACTCTCTTCCTTGCTCCACTACACCCAGGCTCACCATGATGGTGGGAATATTCTGGGCATTGTGGCACAAAGGAAAAAGATCTGAATTCTTTCTGTGTTTGTGCACTTTTAGAGGTAATTGAGGTTAAGTGACTTGCCCGGGGTCACACAGCTAGTAAGTATCTGAGGTTGGATTTGAACTCAGGTCCTCCTGACTTCAGGGCTGGTACTTTATCCACCACACCACCTAGATACTCCAAGACCTGAATCTGGTGTTAGATCTGCCATCAAATACCTCAGTGACCTTGAGCAGATTTCCCTCCACCCTCTGTGTGATTCAGTTTCCCCATTTGTAAAGGAAGGACTTGATCGAGATGGTTTCTAAGGGTTCTTCCAGCCCTGACATTCTCTGAGTTATCCTGATGCAGGAGTTCAGAGCTGGGCAAACTTTCCCTTAGTGACCAGGCCGCTCCACTGCCCAGAGAAATCAAGGGCTTAGCCACCTTCATTTGGCATGGAGGACGAAAGCTATGCATCCACCCCCATGCTCTATGACAACAACTTCTTCATAGGCGGCAAACCCATCCCCACTCCCTTGACAACCTGGCTGCTGCCAACACAGCAGTTATTAGCACAACCATCTAAGTGTCTTTTAATTTTGGCCCTCGTTTATTTTAACTACGGTCTGAGTCATCCAGCCATTTAATTTCACTGTGTGTTAAGAAGATTAAATAGAGTAATCTGATGACTCACTTATAAAAATTACACAAGAAGCATGGAAAGAGAGGAAGAAAGAATGGAAAGAACTAAAGAAAGAGAGAACAGAAAAACGGAAAGAAAGGAAGGAGAGAAAGAAAGAAAGAAAGAAAGAAAGAAAGAAAGAAAGAAAGAAAGAAAGAAAGAAAGAAAGAAAGAAGGAAGGAAGGAAGGAAGGAAGGAAGGAAGGAAGGAAAGGAAGGAAGGAAGGAAGGAAGGAAGGAAGGAAGGAAGGAAGAAGAAAGAAAGAAAGGAAGGAAGGAAGAGAAGGAAGGAGGAAGGAAGGAAGGAAGAAGAAGGAAGGAAGAAAGAAAGAAGAAGAAAGAAGAAAGAAAGAAGAAAGAAAGAAAGAAAGAAAGAAAGAAAGAAAGAAAGAAAGAAAAGAAAGAAAGAAGAAAGAAAGAAAGAAAGAAGGAAGGAAGGAAGAAAGGAAGGAAGGAAGGAAGGAAGGAAGGAAGGAAGGAAGGAAGGAAGGAAGAAGAAGAAAGAAGAAAGAAAGAAAGAAAGAAAGAAAGAAAGAAAGAAAGAAAGAAAGAAAGAAAGAAAGAAAGAAAGAAAGAAAGAAAGGAAAGGAAAAGGAAGGAATTGTACACTCAACTTCTCCTCACTTTTACTTCTTCTCCATCTCCCTGGTGCCCAGCTCCCCCAAGAAATAGCCTGTCTACTAGGGTAGAATGCGTAATGCTGCTCTCCCAGGGGAGTTTCTGTCAAGAAGTTGGGGCTAGCCAGACCCTGGGGACCAGGGGAGGGAGATGCAGAGAAAGGGCAACAGAGAAATGGGTAGACAAATAGACCTATGTCTTGTCATTTTTTCAACCTTGAACAAACTAGGAAGACTTCCCACCCAGGCCTGGTCTGTAAGAACCATAGCCTTACTGAAAGGAATCACTCAGACTAGTCTTAATCCTTCCCAGTTTCCTCAAGTCCATCAAATTCCAAGTCCAAGTTCAGTGACTTCCAATTTCTGAAGGGATATTTCAAAATTCTCTAAAATTATGATATATACATATAAAAATTATATATGCCCATATGTATGTATATTTATATTATATTATATATTATATACACTTATTGAGATACAAACTGGACTTATGGTTTTATTGGCATTGGGAATTCTCAGATGAGGAAAAGTGGGTTGGCACCATTTTCACCTGGCAATTTATGGTCTTAGAGAGGTGGTGAGACCCCAGAGAGGTCAAGAGATTTACGTAGAGTCACACAGCCAGGATATGTCCTAAGCAGAATCTGAACTGAGGTCTCTCTAGCTTCCAGGCCTGCTCTCTACCTATTACCTCTTCATGGACATGTATGCATACATACACCTCATACATCACTTTTTGGGAGGCTAGGAGGGAAGAGAGCTGGGGACAGGTGGCCAGACAAAGTAGAGATTGCCCAGAATTAGGAGATAGAGAGCATGGATTTAAAGTCTAACCTTATATAAGACAGGTTTCCTGGGACAGAGGAAAGGGTTCTGGATTTGGAATGAGAGGGCATGGCGTTTGAATCCTGGATCCACCACTTATTGGGCTTACCTGAGGCATTGCCATCTGCTTTGTCGATGAATCCTAAGGACCATAGGACTTTTCCATCTGAATTGAAGGGGAAACTTTCCATATGTGTTGACTCCCTCTTTAGAAGGTAAGCTCCTTGAGGGAAAGGCCTATCTTCCTTTTCTATTTGTACCCCTGGAGCTTAGCACAGTACTTTGTATATAGTATCTACTAAATGCTTTATTCATCCATCCATCCAACCATCCATTCATTCCTAGACTGACCTAATCTTTCTAGGCCTCAGTTTCCTTATATACAAAATGACAGGTTTAGGCTAGATGGCCTCTAAGGTCCCTTCTGGTCCCAAACCTTTGGTCCTATGATTATTCCTAAGATGTTTCCTCTCTCAGAGTCTTGGTTTCCTCAAGTGTAAAATGAGGGTTTATAGTAGACATCTCCAAGGTTCTTCTACCTCTAGGACCTAGGAGTCCTCTCTAGTGAAGTCGAGATGCATGCTTTAGTCCTGGCTTTACCACTAACTTCATGTGTGACCTTGGTCAAGTTCCAGCTCTCCTCAGTGCTCAGTTTGAATGAGACAGTTCAAAATCCCTTCTGACTCTGACAGCCTATATTCTATTATTATGAAGTTGGAATCTTGACAATAAATAGACTTTGCAACCAAAAGGGACAACTATCTAACAGTGGAATGACAGGCTGAAAGATGTTTGGAATCACCAGGGCCTTCCTAGTGCCTCTTAAATAATACCACATGGTTGGCCTCCTACACAGTCTCTCCATAAGACCAGTCCTGAAGCTTCTCTGGTCCCCATTCCTGCTGATTTTCCTTGACATCAAACCATGGTCACTCACTGATGAGGGCTGTCACAATCTCTTCCATGCTCTCCAGGAAGCTGCTGAGATGCTGGGTCACAGGCAGATGTGGAGAGGTGATCTGGGCGACCACAGCAGCAGCCTCTGCTCGAGTGGCTTCTGAGTGGCTACTGTCAGTCAGGATGTCAGCCAAACACAGAATTCCATCTACCTGGAGGTGACAGAATGTGTAGAAGCTCCACTGTGAAACTGGGCCTTAGAATACGGCACTTTCCTTACCTTCCTCCCCCCACCCCTACCCCCCAGCAGAAGCAACTTGACAAGAGAGAATGTATACCTTGGACAGAGACATCAGGCCAGCCCCAAACACAGCACTGGGTTTTGAGTCAGAAGACCTCAGTTCCAGTCCTGAATCTGACACTTATTAAGTCACCTTGCACAGTCACCCTACCTTTCTGAGAGTTCCTTGGGATGTGGCTTCCAGCCTTACCACATAACTGAAACTGCTAACTCCCAGGTTACCCATGATCTCTCTTTATAGCTAAATCCCATGGTCTTTGTTCAATCCTTATCCTCTTTGACCTTTCTGAAGTTTTTGGCATCACTGATCATCTCCTCTCCCTGGATATTCTCTCATTCTTTGGATTCTGTGATACTCCAATTTCTTGATTTTCTTCCTATCTGACTGATCCTTCTCACATTCCTTTGCTAGCTCTAGCTCTCTCTCTCTCTCTCTCTCTCTCTCTCTCTCTCTCTCTCTCTCTCTCTCTCTCTCTCACACACACACACACACACACACACGGCTTTGTCCTAGACCCTCTTCTCTCTGTAATCTCTACTCTTTCTCATTAACTTTATCCACTTCTATGTGTTCAATTATCACCTATATGCAGATTACTCATAAACATATGTAATCTCTCTCCTGACCTTCATTTTTATCCCTAACTGCCTGTTGGACACTTCCACTTAGATATGCCCTTGGCATCTAAAAATCAAGATATCCAAAACTTAACTTCTCTTCCCCACTAACTCTGCTGCCTCCAGATTTCTCTGTGTGTGTTGAGGATACCACCATCTTCCAGTTACCTGGGTTTATAACTTCAGGGTTATCCTTAACTCCTCTCTCTTTCCCCAACCCCTCATATCCAAGTCTTATCAATTCTATCTCCACGATGTTTCCTGCATCTATCCCCTTTTCCACCTTCACACGACTTACTTCCAATCTAGTTCATCAACGCCTGCACTATTGCGATAACCTCCTAGTCACTATCCTTGCCTTCAGCCTCTCCCCCTTTCAATCCTTAATCAATCTTCCACACAGCTAATAAAACGATGTGCCTAAAGCATAGGTCTGACTATATGTCACCTGGGATTCGAATCTTGGCTCTGACATTTGCAAGCAGGACATGACCTTGGGAAAATCCATTTTCCCTCTATATTTCCTCTACTCTGTAAAATTGGGGGGAGGGGTAGAGTAAATGCCACTTAAGGTCCTCCTTAGCTATAAATCCTGAGATGCTATAGAAGTCAGCGGTGTCCCAATCCCTGTATCAAATGTTCTGATTCCTCTAAGAGGCACCCCTTGTGTGGCAGATAGAAGGTCAAAGCTGCAAAAGGGCCTTTGTGTTCCTAATCCAACATGACCTTCACCAAGCTCCTTCTCTTCTCTGAGTGTCCACTTCCTCCTCTAAAATGAGCAGGTTGTGTTAGATCATGGGACATAGATGTCATCGGGCACTATGGAATCAGGAAGATATGAGAGCAAGGGTGATGAATTTGGAATCAAAGGACCTGGGTTTAAATCTCTGCTCTTCCACTTAGACTTTGGGCAAATCACTTGACCTCCCAGGGACGGTTTCCTCCTCTGTAAAAGGAAGGAATTGACCTCAGCAGTCTCTAAAGTCACCTCCTGCTCTGACTCTATGACCTTGTGAGCCTATGATGATATCGAATCCAACTTCTCACTTAGCAGACAATGGGAGAATCGATGTTCCCTAAAGCTCCCTTCCACATCTCGATCCAATGAACCTGTGATGAGTCAGCGAGTCAATACCCAGCAAACACTTATTAAGGGCCTGCTATAAGACAAGAATTATGCTAAAGGTTGAGGATATAAAGAAAGGCCAGAAAGTCTTTTTTTCAGTAGCTCACAATCAAATCTGAAGATTCAAAAGTTTCAGAGCTAATTTTACATGATCATAAAGAAGTATTACTGGGTTTTTTCCCTCTATTCCCAGCCTCATTTGCAATAGAGGAAAGGGGAGAGAGGCTAGCTAAGGAACCCTGGCAAAGGAAAGCATGGCCAGAGGGGCTGCCTTCTACCTCCAGTAGACCTGGGGTTGAAGGAAATCTTTCCCAAACTTACCTGGCTGGGAATGGTTGGTCCCCATTCCCACCTCAAGATCATCCCTTGCCCACATGAGTGTGATTCTGTAAGCTCAGTATCATGCAAGGAAAAGAGCATTGACTTCAGAGACACTATCTGTGTGACCTTGGGCAAGTCAACTCCCTGTAACTCACTTTCCTCATATATAAATGTGAGGGGGGGATCTGAGGGTCTCTAAGTTTGCTACTAGCTTTAAATTCTCTACTCACAGGCACCCCGATCCCTTCTCCATGGGGTCTTTTTTTCCTGCTTTATTAGAGTTATGTCTGCCCATTCCAGTGTGGGAACAAGGTGGGTGCTGATGGGGAGCCGGTTGCTGGGCCACATCTGACCCCAACATCCCACACTAGCCATTCCCCATCTTCACTTCCTGCCACTCATCCTCAAGTGGCTCTTTAAAAGCTCCCACTTGGTTATTTATTAGAGTCGGATTTCACGTTACCTCCATTAATGGTCCAGGATGGACATAAATTCTGTTTGGTGAAGTGCTTGATAATGAGGGAATCAGAGAGACAGGCGAAGCTGTCAGACCCTGGGGAGGCCAAAGGACTCTGTCTGACATGAATTATCTTGATGGCTTCTTTGAGAAAGGAGGCAAATGCCATGCCAGGTCCCTGCCAGTGTGAGCACACTCTCAGAACTGATGGCAGTGTCACATGTGAGGCCTCTAATTTGCTCAGGTCTCAAATGGATGGACAAAGAGACAGTCTGTGCCCAGCAACAGGAAGCAAACTGGTTGAGAGCTTTGTGAGCCTTTTCAAATGAACTGTCCTTGTTACCTCCCGCCAAGTTCCACCTGCTCAGGGTCATAGGCTCAGAGCCAGAAGGGGATCTCAGGGTCACCTAGTCCAGTCCCCTCAAATAAGGAAACTGAGGCCCAGAGAGGTCATAATGGAGCTGGAGGACCAGAGTTGGGAGAGATCCTAGAGGTCATCACATTCAACCCCCTGAGGAAACTGAGGCCCAGAGAAGTCATGAAGTAATAGATTTAGAGCTGGGAGGGGTCCTAGAAGTCTTCAAATCCAAACCTTTCATTTTATAGATGAGGAAACTGAGGCCCAGAGATTCATGAGATAATAGATTTAGAACTAAGGATGCAACTACAATAAATAAAATAATACCTACTCAAAAGAACCTTACATTTTAGCAGGGGGAGTCAACATTCAAGGAACAATGAATTGTCTGGTCTGACTGAGGCAGATGTGTGAAGAGGGATTGGGAATGATAAAGTTGGTGGGAACCCAACTGCGGGGAAGGCCTTGAATGTCATGCAAAGGACTTGGGACCTCATTTAGCAGACAATAGGAGACATGGAGAGATTCTGAGGCAGGGAGTGACAGAGGCAGACATGTGCATTAGAATGATTATATAGGCAGTGGCATGAGGAATAAAAAGGGAGAGCCTGGAGTCAGGGAGCAGAGTTAGCAGCTGGTGCAGTGGTCCAGTACCCAAGAGGTAACGAGAGCCTGGATTAGGACAGAAGAAGTAAAAGATTGAAAAGACAGGGTGAAGACAGAATTGACAAGACTTGGTAACCAAGTGAATGGAGGAGAGGGGAGTGGGGAGGAAAGAAATAAGCACTTATTAAGCATCTATGCATCAGTCACTGTGCTAAGTCTTTTATAAATAGGATCTCATTTGATCCCCACAATAACCTTGTGAGGTAGGTGCTATTATGATCCTCATTTTACAGTTGAGGAAACTGAGGCAGACAGAGGTTAAATGACTTGCCCAGAGTCATACAGCTAGGAAGCATCTAAGGCTAGATCTGAACTCAGGTCTTCTTGATTCCAGGCTCAGTGAACCACTTAGCTGTGGCCAAATGAGGGGGGAGGAGGGATGGGAAAAAGGAAGAAGAAGAGGAAGGAAAAAAGTGAAAGATAACTCCAAAATTGGTAGCCTAGGAGATTTAGGGAGATGGTGACAGTAATTAATAAAAATTAGGAAGTTAGAGGGTCAAAGGCTACTAGATATAGAACTCCCAGGCCATCTTGTCCAACTCCTACATTTTACAGATGAGGAAACATGAGACCCAGAAAAATTAAATTATTTATCCAATGTCACATAGGTAGTAAATGTCTGAGGTAAGATTTGAATCCAGGACATGTAAGATATTTCTTCCCAAGACTGGACGGTCTTTTGTCTAAAAATTCAGTGGATTTTTTTTATGCACCAAAGTTAAGATCATAACGATATATCTGCTTCTAATTCCCCTCATTTGTAAAATGAGAGAGATATATATTACCACACTATTTATAGGAGCACTTTGTAACAGCCAAGAACAGGTTCACAGGGTTCCTTGCCAACTTTAGAGATTCAGACTCAGCACTGTTCATTCATAGCCCAAAACATCCACCCACTTTCCAGTCCCTGGAGAGCTCCTCAGGACCTCATCCGTCATTTGGCCCAACTCCAGACAGCTGGACCAACCTAAACTTTTATGGGGCAGGGTAACAAAGGCCAGCCACTGATAAACATTTCTAACCTCAATTCTTTGTGACCTCACTCGATGATCATTACAGTTATCCCTTCCACATCGCCAGGATGAAGGGCATGGCACCTTGTATTCTGGAAAATCATGTAAAATTTTCTGGCCTTCCCTTCATACCAGAGAAGAAGTCTGAATTTTTTTTCCTTCCATGGGGTGTTTACAGAACCTTACTGTGAAATTTGGTTTAAATATTTGGTCATAGGCTCTATGTTGCTTGCTGGCCTTCACATGTCATCTGTAGCTTCCACAAAATTCCCCAAAAATTTCTATTTAATTTCTTATGCCATCTTGCAATATATCGAAACCACGATAGGGAGAGTCATGATGTGGAAGG